CCTCCGCCTCCTCCTCCTCCTCCTCCCCCTCTATCAGGACCACCGCCTCCTTCTCCTCCATCGGGACCTCCTCCTCCTCCTCCTCCTCTATCGGGACCTCCTCCTCCTCGTCCTCCTCTTCCTCCTCCTCAGCCTCCTCTATCGAGACCTCCGCCTCCTCCTCCTCTACCGGGACCTCCTCCTCCTACTCTATCGGGACCTCCTTCTCCTCCACCTCCTCCTCCTCCTCTATCGGGACCTCCGCCTCCTCCTCTTCCTCCTCCGCCTCCTCCTCCATGGTCGGAACCTCCTCTCCCTCTTCCTCCTCCTCCTTCTCCTCCTCCTCGTCCTCCCCCTCCTCCTCCTCCTCCTCCTCCGTCTCACCGCGAAGTTGAATGCCCTTGTTTGAGACGTGAAAACCACCGCTCTCCTCCTTTTTTTTTTTTTTCCTCCTACATCCGTCTCCACCCATTGATCCATGCCGACCGACCAATCAATCAATCAATCAATCAATCAATCAATCAATCAATCAATCAATCAATCAACTCCCGTTGAATTTATTGATTCGGCAAGATCTTGAACTGTCAAGATCCTGTCGAATCAATAGATTCGATGGGACTTGATTGATGGATTGATTGATTGATTGATTGATTGATTGATTGATTGATTGATTGATTGATTGGATTGGATGATTGATGGACGGACGGATGGCGACGGTTATAGGCAAAAAAAAAAAAAAAAAAAAAGGGAGAGCGGGACCTCCTCCTCCTCCTCTATCGGGACCTCCTCCTCCTCCTCTATCGGGACCTCCTCCTCCTCCTCCTCCGCCTCCACCTCCTCCTCTTCCTCCTCTTTCGAGACCTCCGCCTCCTTCTCCTCCATCGGGACCTCCTCCTCCTCTATCGGGACCTCTGCCTTCTCCTCCTCTACCGGGAATTCCTCCTCCTCTATCAGGACCTCCTCCTCCTCCTCTATCGGGACCTCCGCCTCCTCCTCCTCTACCGGGACCTCCTCCTCCTCTATCAGGATCTCCTCCTCCTCCTCTATCGGGACCTCCTCCTCCACCACCTCCTCCTCCTCCACCACCTCCTCTTCCTCCTCCTCCTCCTCCTCGTCCTCCTCCCCCTCCTCCTCGGTCTCGCTGCGAAGTTGAATGCCCTTGTTTGAGACGTGAGAACCCCCGTTCTCCTCCTTTTTTTTTTTTTTTTCCTCCTACATCCGTCGCCACCCATCCATCCATCCCGACCGACCAATCAATCGATCAATCAATCAAGTCTCGTCGAATCTATTGATTCGACAGGATCTGGAACTGTCAAGATCTTGTCGAATCTTGATTGATTGGTTGATTGATTGATTGATTGATTGATTGATTGATTGATTGATTGATTGATTGATTGATTGACTGATTGGATGATTGATAAACGGATGGATGGCGACGGTTATAGGCGGAAAAAAAAAAAAAAAGGGAGAGCAGGACCTCCTCCTCCTCCTCTATCGGGACCTCCGCCTCCGCCCCCTCCTCCTCCTCCTCCTCCTCTATCGGGACCTCCGCCTCCTTCTCCTCCATCACGACCTCCTCCTCCTCTATCGGGACCTCCGCCTCCTTCTCCTCTACCGGGGCCTCCTCCTACTCTATCGGGACCTCCTCCTCCTCCACCTCCTCCTCCTCCACCACCTCCTCTTCCTCCTCCTCCTCTATCGGGACCTCCGCCTCCTCTTCCTCCTCTGCCTCCTCCTCCGTCATCGGGACCTCCTCTCCCTCTTTCTCCTCGTCCTCGTCCTCGTCCTCCTCCTCCTCCTCCTCCGTCTCGCCGCGAAGTTGAATGACCTTATTTCAGACGTGAGAACCCCCACTCTCCTCTTTTTTTTTTTTTTTTTTTTTTTTTTTGCCTATAACTGTCCCCATCCATCTGTCCATCAATCAACCAACCAATCAATCAATCAATCAATCAATCAATCAATCAATCAATCAAGTCCCGTCGAATCTATTGATTCGACAGGATCTTGAACTGTTCAAGATGATTCGACAGGATCTTCAACTGTTCAAGATCCTTTCGAATCAATAGATTCGACGGGACTTGATTGATTGATTGATTGATTGGTCGGTCGGGATGGATGGATGGGTGGCGACGGATGCAGGAGGAAAAAAAAAAGAGAAAAAAAGAGGAGAGCAGGGGTTCTCACGTCTCAAACAAAGGGGTTCGAGTTTGCGGCGAGACAGAGGAGGAGGGGGAGGAGGAGGAGGAGGAGGAGGAGGAGAAGGGAGAGGAGGTCCCGATCGAGGAGGAGGAGGTCCCAATCGAGGAGGAGGAGGAGGTCCCGATAGAGGAGGAGGTCCCGATAGAGGAGGAGGAGGAGGAGGAGGAGG